GAGCCTGTGATCTTGGGAAGCAGACAGTCCAGCTTTCTCCCAAGGAATGGCTGGTGGATTAGAACCACGGCCCTTTCTGTTAGCTGCCAAGTACCTAAGTCCGGTGCCACATAACTCCTTGATTAAACGGGCGAGCGAGGTCCTAAAAACTTCGGAGGGGATAATGCAAGACAGGAGCATGGGACTCTGCTTGTCCAACGTGACAGACAGGACCACAGCTCGTCTCCCAGACAAACGATCCACACGAACCCGACCTCATCGACCTTGACACCAGGGAACTAGCTGGTGCCTGGCTGCCACTCGGGGCTATTTCCACCAGGGCCAGACCAGGCAGATCCAGGTAGGCAGGGAGAAACAGCAGTCGAGTTCCTCAAAACAAAACAAACTCCAGACCCACCGGCGACGGGATGACTCCCCAAGATCACCGCCCAGAGATAGCGACCTTCCAACTCACCCCAAGGTCACCTGGTGGCAACAGAACAAAAAGGCTCCAAGAAAGGCAAGTAGCACCTGCTACCCTTCCCCCATCACCTCATCAGAGACCAGCAGGCCCAGCAGGTTACCGTGGACCACGGTACGGAGGAGGGGGGCAGGGAGTGAGCTGAATGGAAAACGCCATCAGCAGGTCCCTCCCGGTGAGGCGTGTGGCCAGTGTCCCCAACATAAAGTGACCAGATTTAAAGCGGGACACCATTGACTGGGGGGGTGGGTTCTTGATTAAAAATGTAGTCTATATGGACCAAACAGACCGGTCCCTAGCTTGTCCTGCCTTCTTTCCAAAGAGCGGGACTTTTTAAACCGCCCAAAATCAGGACTGTCCCACCAAAAGCAGGGCGTCTGGTCACCTTACCCCAGCAGCTGTGTGGAAACGCTGGGACGGGACCCTCGGCTGTTGAGACGCCATCGCCTGAAGCACAAGACAGGACAGAACAAGGAGGACTCCGGAGGGCGTCACGGGAGGACCGGGACCGGAGCGGGCGGGCCAGGCGCAGCGGGCTGCAGTGGTGGACGGAGGAAGACGTAGCCGCCTCCTTTGGGCAGGTGTGATGATTGCCCCTCGTCCCCACAGCACCGAGGTCTGGCTGAGGAGAAGCTGGGGGTGAGGCACAGGGCCCACGTGTGTGTGCGCGCACGCAAGCATGCATGTAACCAATGGTTTCCGGGAGAGGAAGGCAGTGCTTTCAGGGATCGCCCAGCACCGAAGACAAGCTCTCTGGGCGGAGGGGAATCCAGCGTGGCTGGGCCGGGCAGTCTGGGCAGGGACATTCGGAAGGGTCCCACCCACGTGGCAGGGAGCCGGGAATGCGCGCCAGCAGTGGAGGCCTGTCAAGATGGCGGAGACCAGCAGGTGACCGGAACAGAGGCTGGCTCTGGGGGGGCTCTCTGGGAACGTGCTTCCTACATGAACCTTCCCGGAGGCAGCTCTGTTAAAGTTCTTAGCTGCGGGCCACAGGGCTGGCGGTTCGAGCCCCCCAGTTGCTCCGTGATAACAAGACGAGGCCTCCTGCTCCCGCCGGGATTCCAGCCTTGGAAACACAAGGGCGGCTTCATGCTATCCTGCCGATGAACGGACTGGAAGACAGGGGTCTGCTTGTTCAGTCCCTTGGTGCTGTGAGGGAGGTGTTGGACTGCTACCCACAAGGCTGGCAGTTCAAACCCAGCAGCCCCTCGTTAGGAAAGAGGGGCCCTCTGCTTCAGGACAGACAGACAGCCTCATGAAGCAGACGGGCCAGCTCTGCTCGCCGCACAGGCTCTGAGTCTGGATGGACCGACGGCAGTGGGTTTGGTGATGGTTAATTTTAACAGAATGGGGTTGCCGGGTCTTTCCTACGCTGGGTGGATCTGAACCACCCACCTTTAGGTAAGCAGTCGGGAAAGAGCTATTCTCCCCACCCAAGAGCCTTTCCAAAACCAGAGAGGGGCAATTACAGGAGAGCAACTCGGGGAACAAGCTGAAACCCTAAGACCCCTTACGGGAGTCTCAGGGCAGCAAGAAGACCAGGTCTCCCTCCAGCTCATAATTCGGGGCTCTTTAACCTGGGGATTAAGAGGCACCTGTGTTTTCTCCACCAAAGGGTGAGGGGGCCCACCCTCAAATCTCTGGGAGCAGCAGAGCACCCCCAGAGGGGTCATCAGAGCCACCCCTCCCCCGCCTAGCACCGGCTGCGTTTCCAGCTGTCACCCGTCCTTCCGATGGTTAATCAACAGCTTCCGCTGCCCTGCTTCACTGGCTCGTCCAAAGGCCAGTGGGTGCCCGGGGTGGGGGTGGGGGCTGTATAAAGCAACGGCCGGTGAGCGGAGACGGTCGTGGAGGGGCAGGGATGCAACCCAAGACCAGCTGCGTGCTCTGCGCCCTCACACTCCTCACCAGCTTCCTGGCCGTCTGCCTGGGCGCCTTCTTCATCTCCTCCGGTCCCCTGGCCGGCTGCTGCTGGCGGAACCTGGTGGCGACCTACCTGCTCCTGCCACTGGGCTTCCTGGCCCTTCTGTGCGGGATCTGCTGGAGCACCTACAGCCAGCTGAGCAAGAGCAAGAGGATGGTCCACCATCTGCTCCACCAGCACCGGGCTCAGGGGGTCCTGGCCACGGTGGACAGGTACATGGAGGAGCCAAGACAGGGTCGGCTGCTAGAGAGGGTGGGTGACTTTGGATGCCACCGTGGGGGCCCCTTGCACGTTCAGTCCATGCCAGGCCAGCTCGCCGCAGCCGGGCAGGACATCCTGGGCTGCCCACACCAGGGAAGCAGATTGCCTCATCCTGCTCCCAGAGAGCAGCTGGTGGTCTTGAACCCGCACCTTCCTGTTAGCAGCCCGGGTGCTTAACCCAGTGTGCCACCAGCATTGAGCTGGCTGCCCTGTGGCGTTTCCTTGGCCGTAATCTCTATGGGAGCTGATGGGCAGGTCTTTCTGCAGGCCGTCTGGCGAGTGCGTTCACACTGCTGACCTGTCGGTTAGCAACCCAGGGCATCAATAGCGGCACCACCAGAGACCCCTCCCCTTGAGTCTGGAATGCGGCCCTCATCATCCAGCAGCTACTCAGGGGTGAGACGTTTGGGAGATGTGGCTCCCTCTGGGGAGAGCCAGGAAGCAGGGGAGCCTGGATGCCAACCCAAGGTCAGAGGTTTGTACCCTCCCAGTGGCCCTACTCAGGCACACAAGGACCCAGTACACCACCAGCACTCCCTTATCCTGGCTCACAGCGACCCTATAGGGCAGGGTGGACCTGCCCCTGTGAGTTCCCAGACTGTCACTCTTTACAGGAGCAGACAGCCTCACCTTTCTCCCACAGAGCAGCTGGTGGTTTCTAACCACTGACCTTGTGTTTAGCGCCCCAGTGCATAGCCCACTATATGCCACCAAAATTCACTGCCATCCAGCCAAGCCCAACTCACAGTCACTCTCTAGGGCAGGGCAGAACTTCCCCTGTGGGTTACCAGACTGTAACTCTTTACAAGAGTAGAAAGCCTCCTCTTTCTCCCTCAGAGTGGCTGGTGGGTTTGAACTGCCCACCTTGTGGTTAGCAGCCAGGTGTGGTGAATGATTGTGATGGGATATTAGGCTTTTCTACTCCTATGAGAGTTACCGTCTCCAAAACCCACAGGGGCGGGTCTCGCCTGTTCTATGGGGTCACTGTGAGCCACTGGGGTGAGTCTGTCTCTCACCCTTCAGACGTGTTGTCAGGAGAGATCAGCCCCTGGAGAAGGACGTTGGGTTTGGTCAAGCAGAGGGGCAGCAAAGAAGAGGAAGGCCCGCAGAGCTGGATGGACACAGGGGCCTCCGTAACGGGCTGAAACGTAAGGACAGCTGCGAGGACGGCGCAGGACTGGGCAGCGTGTCCTTCCACAGTACACTCGGGGTCGCTGTGGACCAGACTCGGCTCCTGCCAACACCAGCCACCAGGGTCAGGCCAGCTCAACGGCAGGGGGTTGGCCTTGTGCTCACCCAAGGTCAGCAGCTCACACCCACCCAGTGGTGGTGAAGAAGAAAGGTCTGCCGGTCTGTGCCCATGAAAGAGGGCAGCCAGACTACGCTGGGGCACCCCGTGGCCACTGCGAGTGGGCATTCCCTCAGTGGCCGCCTGCCTGGGTTGGCCTGATTCATATCAAAGTTGGCACCCCGGTGAAGCATCCAAGCAGGTCCCTGGAATGTGAACGGTGCTGGCAGGAGGAGGAGCAGGGGGGCATTGGGGAAGGGGAGACCGGCTCCGGGCAGGCCACAGGCACTGGGAGCCTCTGCCATCACACCTGGTGTGCTCTCACCTTTCTGGCCGCCCACTGACCCGACGCGGCTGGGCTGTTCTCAGGGAGGCTGGCATTTCAGCCATACAATTGGTGGCCCCCTCAGGCTGGCTGGCTTTGGGCCTGGTGACTTTTGGAGCTGTGGCTACGGTGGCAGGCAGCCCCCGTTCTGCTGTGGTTATGCGTCATAAGCAGGCCCACTGTCGTCAGCCAGTTCAACGCTCACTCCACAAGCCATTGGTCCATCCCTCCTCCAGCCCACCCTGCTCATCAGGGAGGGGCCAGGCACCCACGCTGAGGTGGCCTTGGGGACATGGCTCTGGCATATGGGTGGCTCCCTAACTGTTGGCCAGTTGCCAGAGAAGTCTCCCCAAAGCCCAAGGTGATGTGGTTTGGGGAACAAGCTGCTGAGAACCGACAGGTGGCCAGAGAGGGCGAGGCAAGGCCGGCCTACAGCAGGCCCCAGCCCTGCTTGGGTTGGTAGGGGGTGTAGGAGGGGGACACCCAGGGCTGGGGGGAAGGGTGAGAGTGGACCAGATAAGGTAACAGGCTAGACAGAACCCTACAACAATCCAGGTCCTAATGTCCCCTGGCCTGGAGAAGGTCCTTGGTCCGAATGCCCTGGTTCCATGAGTGAGGAACCAGGAAGGTACGGGTCGGCGCTGATGCTAGGTGAGCCCATGCGTCTCAGAACAGACTGTCTCAGGGCTGGGCCATGCCGGGCCACCTTCACTTTCACGAACCTGCTCAAGGTCATGGGGGGCATCTCCAACCTGGGGCCTCCCTCCCCGCACTCAGAGAATATCCTGTGGAGAGCCTCTGGCTGCCCCTGGCTGCGTTACAGAAGTCCTCCTCCTTGGCCTGGAAGCTCCGATGAAGCCGTGGGTGACCCTGCTGGCATTTCAAAGCCCGGTGGGACTGTAGCTCAGCTTCCAGCATCACAGCCCCAGGGGGCGCAGGCTGACAGCCAGACAGTGGTGACCGACCAGGGATGCAGCTGTCTTGTCTTTTGGCACCGAGGCAGCCCCTGACCCCCAGTGGCCCTGGGCCCACAGCTTCTCACTGGCTGATCTTCTGATTGGCGACCACCACGCCTGTCTTCCAGGAAACAAAACAAGAGCTAAAACACACAACACAACCAAATCCACTGCTGTTGACTCCTGGCCACCCCGTGGGACAGGGCAGAACTGCCCCTGCGGGTGTCTGCAAGGGCCACTCTTCCCGGGAGTCGGAAGCCCATCTTTCTCCAGTGGCGGAGCCGGTGGTTTTCAATTGCTGGCCTTGTGACTAGCAGCAAACTAGGATGCGTTCAAAACCCACTGCATCCAGTCGACGCAGACTCACGGCGACCGCTTGGACTGGGTGCAGCTGAGCGTGTGGGTTCCTGAGACCATCACTCTTCCCGGGAGTAGGAAGCCTCACCTTTCTCTCATGGAGTGGATGGTAGTTTTGAACTGCTCACCTGGGGGCCAGCAGCCCAACACAGAACCATTACGTAGAATTTTACAGTCTTGGAAGCCCACAGGGAAATTCCACCCGGTCCTGTCGGGGTCTAGGAGCTGGAACTGACTGGGTGGTCAGAAGGAAATTAGGGTGAGCCTGGAGGACATGACCAGACCCAGGTTTGCTGGGGAGGAAGGACGAGGGGGACAGCGAGGCCAGGGGGAGGTGGGTCCTGCCAGTTTCACTGGGCACCCAGTGACGTTGTGCTTACCACCTGCTTCCTTTCCCAGGCCGGACGGTTGCCCTCCAGCCTACGAAGAGAGCCTGGCCTTAGGCCCACCGACCTGGTCGTCGGGCAGGGCAGCCCCTGAGGCACCCCCACCAGCGTACACGGAGATGGACCTGGGCCACAGCATTGACATCGAGGCCCCTCCCCCCTACAAAGAGTCCCCAACAGATGCAGCGGCTGCCGCTGCACCCCGGAACACTGAGGGGCAGACTTGGGGGTGCTGAGGGCAGCAGGGTCCTGGCGCTGTGACCCACCCTGATTGGAGCAGCTGCTTGACAGTGGACCCAGTGGAGGGGTCGTGGGAGGGGCGCCAGGTCAGCGGTCTGGTCTGGTCTGGAGCAGCCTTGGGGACCCTGGGCAATGACTTTGCACTGGCATGCTGGGATGTGGCCGGGCAGGAGGGACCAGGCATGTCCAGCACCAGGATGCCAAGATGCAGACTCTCACTAAGCTGTAAGCACAACCCTGCTGGCCTCCAGGTCACAGGAGTGCTGGCTCTGTGTCCCCTCGAGTCCCCTCTGGGAGCAGAGTGGCTGGTGGCCCAGAGGGACAGCCTGGAGACCCGAGAACTAGAAAGGCAAGGCTCACGGAGCCATTTATCCCTCTGCCCTTCAATTAACCCCACATGTGTTTATTGGCCAGGTTGGCACAGTAAACTAACTACCTCAGTGTCCTTCTCCAGGAGCTAGCCCCTCCTGACACCGTGTCCTAAGTGCATGAGACAAAGCCTCACCATCCCCGCCTCTAAGGAGCCTTCGGGCAGTGTTTCTTCCAAGACACAGTTGGCTTGTTCTCTGGGCAGTCCCTGGCACGTCCTCTGTTCTTCTCTAGAACCCTGGGTGATTTATGACGACCGGCGGGCACCAAGGGGCGAGGGGAAAGTCTTGCTTTGGGAACCCTGAGTTTACACGAATAACCCAGACTTAAACACACTGCCATTCTAGTTCATGCCAACTCACAGGAGAGGGCGACTGTCCCTGTGAGCCTCGAAGACTGTGACCCTTTACCCACATCGCTAGCTGCTGACCTTGCAGCTGACCAGATGCCCAGCAAGGAACCACTCGGAGACCCCAGGGTAGTCTCAGAGGGGTCTCAGGACAAGGGGCCGGAAGAGCTGCACATTGTGACTGCATGTTGCCACAGCCACTGCACGCACAGGGGGCTTGCTGAACTGCCGCGTGGTGCAGCACGCTGGTCTTCAACACGGTGTTTTAAAAAGGAGTCATCTCTACCCTCACCCCTCAGTATCAAAGGAACCCCGGTCCCTGTCCCCCCACCCCTCTAACAAAGGAACCCTGGCCCTTGTCCCCCCACCCCTCGGTGACTCAGGGAATCCTGGCCCTTGTCCCCCCACCCCTCGGTGACTCAGGGAATCCTGGCCCCTGCGCATGAACTACAGCTTGTGGCTGCAGCGGCACAGGAGGATCACCCCTGGCCTGCGGTGGGCAGGGTCACTGTGCCCCTCTCTGTCCCTTCACGGAGATGGGCCTCCTGCCACATTCCCTGGAGGTCAGCGCCCACGCCCCCACCAGGACCCTCTCCGGCACCAGCCTTGGATCCGGAGCGTGCATTTGCAGCAGGAGAGGGGGCTTCACCACTGGGTGGGAAACCCCCCCATCTTTTCACTGGACCCTTGGAAGGCTCCTGGCAGCTCAAGGTGGGCAACCGAGTGAGCCTGGATTCATTCAGATCCCTTCACAGCAACACACTGGTGCTGTGAATCGTTCGCGTGCAGCCTCGGGGCTGTTTGGTTTGGTTT